AGACTTCTAGATTCCAGAGCTGTGAAATGTATGTTGTTTAAGACAAAGAGTCTATGGTATTCTGTTATAACAGCCTGAACTAAGACACCTCCTTTTAAGCCCTTTTATCCTCCCTGTTTATGACATAATCATCCTAAGTATTTCCTGTACATACATTGAGATCCAAGTCAGACAATGCTGTAATTTTTGTTTCAAACATCAAACATAATTTAGACAACTCAGTGAGTCTTGGGAGGGAAAGTCCATTTTATTTAGTCACATTTTTGCTTCTTCCATTGTTATTTCTTCCAGGTTTCCTCCTTTTATCATTTCTGTTTTGAGAACTTCTTTTAGCCATTATTTTAGAGTGGGCCTGGTAGTGAAAAATTCCCTTCATTTTCCTTCATCTGAGAATGTCTTTAATTCTCCTCCATTATTGAAGGACAATTTCGGCAGGTACAGAATTCAGGACTGACAGTTCTTTCTTTCCAGCATTTAAAAAATATGCTACTTTCTTCTGGATTTCTTGTTCTGATGAGAAATCTATTGTTTGAATTGTTTTCCCCTTATACGTAAGGTGTCATTTCTCTCTTAACTGCTTTCCAGATAATGTCTTTGTTGTTAATTCCTTAATTTTCATAAGTTTGGTTGTGATGGTTCTTGGTATGGATTTCTTTGGGTTTATCCATTTTGGGGTTTACTCGGATTTTTAAATCTATAGACTTATATCTTTTTCTATATTGGAAAAATGTTCAATTTCTCCAGATACTTTTTTCAGCTTCACTCTCTTTCTCCTCTATTTCTTAGACTCCAATGCCACAAATATTACTACTTTTGTTATTCTCCCATAGGTTTTTGGGGTTCTGTTCATATTTATGAGTCTGTTTTCTCCCTGTTGCTCAGTTTGGGTAATTGCTATTATTCTATCTGCCAGTTCACTGATTTTTTTTCCTATGTCCCTTCCATTCTGCAGTTTAGGTTTTAAAATTTTTCAATGATTGCATTTGTTAATTAAAAAATTTTCCATATGGTTTTTCTTTCAATGTTCTAATTGTTTGCTTAGACTTTCTATGTTTTAGTTGTTTCAAGGGTTCATAATTGCTCATTGAAGTATTTTTATGATGGCTGCTTTAAAATTCTTGTCGACAATTCTAACATCCATGTCATCTTGATGCTGATGTCTGTTGATTGTCTATTCTCTTTCAAGTCAAGATTTTCCTGGTTCTCAGTCTGGCATGTGATTTCCAATTGTACCCTTGAAATTTTTGGTATTATAAGACTCTGGATCTTATTTAAATATGCTTTAGCAAATCTCCTCCAACTTGCTGTGCTGGCAGGGGTAAATGGAGGTGCCGTTTTGCGACTACCATATGTGGGTGAAGGTCCAGGCTCCCCATTTGACTTCCCTTGATGCCTTGGGAGGAGAGGGGCTCTGCATTACTAATTGGTAGAGATGAGTTTTCAGGTTCCCCACTAGACTTCCACTGACACCTGCTGGATTGGTGAGAGGTCTCTTTGTTGTTCCCGCATGTCTTCTACGAGGGGTAGGTGGAAGGCCTCGTTACCTCTGGGTGGTGGTGTGAGTTTGGCTTTCCACTCACGCTTCTCAGATATGCTTGGGTGGGGCAGGGAGGGGCACCTTTTCATGGCTGGACAAAGAAGTCCAGGCTTCTCGCTCAGTCTTTGCTGATGCGTAATCTGTGGCTTTTGGAATATCTTCTTGTGTAAATGAACCAGTGTCAGCCTTATAGAGGTACATACTAAGTGAGGAGAGAATTCTCCCCAAATTTTTCAAATTCGCATGTTCTGGGATCACTTTTCCTTTTATTGTTCTAAGATAATACTAGGTTGCCGCTCTAATGTGTTGTGGTCTTTTAAATTTCATAATGTAAAATTATCACTTTGTGCTTTGACATAAAATGCTTTGGAGCAGTATTACAAAATAACAAAACCTTTATTTACTCTCAAATGTTGGTCTTTAGGGTCCCTGTGGATGATAAAGAACAATTGATGTTTTTAGATTAGCTGTAATGTCTTGAGTTTTGACCAGTAAAACTGACCCAGTCTTTATGAAAAGAAAAAGTCTAATGTATATAGTAGCTGGGCACATGGATTTCTTTTTCACCCTACTCCCTTGCCTAGTTTACAGATAATAATTTTTAATATAAATTTGTCCATAGAATTGTAAGCCTCCTTAAATTTTAGGCAAGTGGAATTTCAGGAATCTATCTAAATTTTCCTAAAATACTAGGTTAGTTTCCTTCACTGTCAGAATATTTCCTAAAGGGATAGGATATTTTAAATTGTGCCTTACAAATGTATTAGTGTTGCCTTGGTTGGGAAGAGAAATAATTATTAAAACAATAAATTATCTCCAGCTAATATTATTTATTAGTTAAGATCTATGACTTTTGCCAAAGAATAGGCTAACTTGAGAGAAACAGTCTTTCTTTTTCCAGATATATGTTGTTACAACATAATACTTACTTCACTGAGTCTGGGCAGATTTAAGTAGATAACCTGGATAAAAGGAATTGGAAGCAGGGACATTTGTCTCAGTGAATGTTTTATTGTACTTTTCTGGGTCACCTTAGTCAAATCCTAAAGCATCTCAGGACCTTGATTCCCACCTGTCAATGAGAACACAAATACTTATCCTGTCTTAACTTCTACAGAATTTTTTCAGAGAAATTTAAATTTGTTGCTAAATCTGTCCACCTCTTTTATTTATTCTTTAAAAGGTATTTGCAAACACCCCCAGCTTTTTTAGCTGCTTTTGGTCTCAAAAGTTTCTGAGCAATGTGAATCAGAAAAAAACTGCTGGGGATTGATACAAAAAAAAAAATGTAGAATTCATTTACAAGTTGACTATGTCCATTTTTGCTATAAGAACCAAATCAATTTTTCTCTCCTGAATACTCTGATTCTTTAGTTGTTGGGGATTAGTTATATCACCCATGCAGATTCAGGCAGAAGCCTTGCACATGGTTTACAGAACTGGGTAGCAGACATACATGGATTGAAATAGCTGTAATGAGAAAATCAATGTCATGTTTAGGAAGTATGCTGAAGTGTGTGCATATTTGGGCTTGTCCCAGAAGCACAGTAAAAGTAAACCAATGCTCTCAAAGTAAAAGCACTTAAAAAATACAAATTTTGAAAAAATGAACATAAAGGTTTGAATCATAAATACTGATTTCTGGAGAAACTATTAAGACAAACTCATTTCAAATTTCAGAGGAAATTTTTCAATTCAGAGGGCTCAGTGGCAGTTACCCCACCTCACCGATGTTGCTGTGTTAAATAAAACAGGGATTTCTGCATAAGGCCACCTGTAGGAGACAAAAGGACTTGCCACGACCCACATGGAAGGCAGGATGTGGCAAGGAACTACCCAAGAATCCCTGCAGATTTATCTTTTACTTAATCTTCAGAACTTGAATTTAGGTGGTGAGCCAGCTAGGTGTTTCATGGATTTTAGCTGTGGGTATAAGGTCATTTCACAGTTGGCTGCAAAGCACACTTTTGAATGGCAGAAAAAAATATAATGTTTAGTTTTCTTTGTGTGTCTACTATTGGTTTATTAAATCACTGAGAACCCCAATAGGTATGGGCCAGGAGGGCATGGAGCATGTTAGTGCGGCCTCTGAGAAACCAAGTGAAATCCATTCTTCCCTTTCCAGCTTGTTGGTTTCATTGTTTCCCACAATAGGGTGATTGTCCACAGCCTGCTTGGCTGCCACCAGCTCCTTTGGGGTACCCAGAAAATCCCCAGGTAAATGTGCAGCCAGAAAGTTGGGTGCACAGGTAGTTAGCTTTGGGCCTTGCATGGCCCTTGGGGTTGGCTCCCCTCTGGCATGAGGCATGCCTCTAGGTCATGAACAGAAACTGCCTTACTTGAAAGTACTGCTGTAGGCAGGGTGATTTCAGAGACACCGATGAGGGTCTCCCTCCCTTTGAAAACTCACCTACTCTCCCTACCTGCTCCCCAGGCACCTGGAATCCCTCTTTTCTCATGAGAGCCCTTTGTTCCTTAGTGAGAGCTGATGTCTAGAATGCAGACCTAGGGGAGGAGATACTCTGTAGAGCTACCATTTTTTGAGTCCTTACCATATATAGAACACTGTACCAAGAGACTGGCCTCCATGGGTATTTTCACATTTTTAGATGAGGAAACAGGGCCTCAAAAGTACATGTTTGCACATTTGCACAAGGTACAAAGTATATTATTCTAGAACCAGCTTCAAATCCAGGTTCTTCAGACCCCAAATTCCCTGCACTCAGAACCCTCTACCACCTCCTTGTTACTGAGATTCCCCGGGATCTCTGAGATTCCGGTTTCCCTGCCAAGAAGGCTGAAGAGTGCTGGGGTTTGACCATGCTGGGGAGGGAGAGCGGGTAAGGGGTGGTTTGAGAAAGCTGTGGGCCTCCCAAGGTGTGCTGAGGAATGATGAAGCCTCGGGTCCTAGTCTCAGCCTCCAAGAACAAGGCGGAGGCCCTCCTGCTGCTCCGCGGAATGACCTGCCAAGGGTCTCATGCAGGACAGCACCCCTTCTGGAAGAAGGGGGAGCCGGAGTGTGGCTGAACCCTGCCTACGTGAGAGCTAACACACGTGTCCTCAGCCAGGAGAGGGTGCGTCTTGATTGAGAAGTTCCCCTGACATTTCTGTTCATTTTCTATAAGCTTGTGAGCCTGAAGAGCGCAGGAAAACCTAAGCAGGGAAGGTCAAGGGCTGATGGTTGCATGGAGAGAGAGGCCTCAGATGGGTCTCGGTGGCTATTCTGAGACATGGCTAAGACTTTCCACTAACCTTCAGAGATTCCTTTCCCCATTGAGGTGCCAGTGATTGGTGTGGCTAAAATACAGCCGGAGAAGGCAGTCAGAATGACTTAGGTCGCCCAGACTAGATACGGCCTCAGACTCCCCTTCACAGTCTGGTCTGGGAATCGATCCCGCATGCTTCTGTAGAAATCTCAATCATAGCATTTCTAACCTGTGTCACAATGTGTCTTTACTTACAGATGGCAGGCCACTTCTGCCTGTCTCATCACTCCCAGTGTCTTTTGTAGCACCTAAACCTGAGATGATCCTCCCAGCTACAGGAAGCTGGAGAACAGCCTTAGCCCAGCTACAGGAATGAAGAAAACTTCCCGGGAAATGGGGAAACAAAGGTAAGTGGTTAGCTGGAAAGCAGCCTGCTGCTCAGCTGCGCTGTGGGTGAGGACTGTGCGTGACCAGGTGGAGGGGCTGCCCACTGCTGCCTGGGCCCCAGCGCCAGCCAGAGGGGTGGGCACCGGCTGGAAGGGACTTTCTCAGGAAAAGGTTCAGCAGTCTTGCTCTGGGACAAATCCTATATTGCTTTTCAAAATATTATAATCTTCTGGCATGAAGGCTGCACCTTTTATTTCCATTTGACCTTGTATTTAAAATGAAAGTCCAGAAAGTTTAGAAGGCAAGGAAAGCAGTCCTGCTAATGTAATGAAGATGAAGCTGTAAATGTAGCTTTTATGGAGTGTTAGCCACTCACTGAGGAACCTGGTAGCCAGAGGGAAGGGAGGGAAGAAGGGTGTGCTATGACTCATCCCAAGAGGTGGGAACTTTTTCTAGTTTTCTGGAGTGTGTAGGGTCTCTGAAGGGGAAGGGAGCCCTGCTCTTCAGGAGTGATCCAGAAACCTCAGCCCTGCGGATCTTCCCTCACCGTGCCTTGCTTTCCTTCTCCATGATGAGACTGGGGGATGATGCAGCTGTCAGAAAACACTCATCCCTCTGGGTTGATGAACATCTCCCTCTGGTACCTCTGTGCCAAGGGGTTCATACTGAAGACAAGTGCAGTGCCCTCAGTGGTATGCAGCCTATCTGCAAAGCTAGTTAGAATGCACTAGAGGGAGGGCCAGTCTGTCCTCCCAGGCGTCCTTTTAGTAATCCCCTTGTCACAGCCACCTCTGAAGACTGCTCACCCTGACAGAGGGATGTGATGGGCAGCCTGTCAAATAGATTGTGAGTGCATTAGCAGGATTAGCAGTGAAGGCTAATATTGCAGCATTTCCCAAGTTCATTCACACCAACGGAGACTGGGTTGCTTAGCTGCCAAACTGGGCAGGCGCAGGCTTCAAAATTAATGCCACCTCTGGGACTGGCCCCGAAGTGGTCAGAGGCACAACAGTCCCATTGTGTTTGACTTGTGTTCATGTATTTTTACTCTGCAGCAGAGCTTAATTTACAATATTAGTATAAAGATGCTAAGTGGGTTTTTTTCTATCTTATTGATAAACTAGCTGAAACACTTCAGCAGCCGCTCCAAACCAGATGCTTAGTTTTTGGCAGTTGTTGAAGTATTGCTGATTTTATTTCTGCTTGTTAAAGTAATATACCCTCATTTTGGAAAAAGTGAGTCCGTAAAGTATAAGAGAGAAATTAAAATTCTCAATCCTTTTGCCAGATATTACCTCTGATGCCATTTTGATGTATTTTCATGGTTATTCTTTCATGCTTATGTATTAAACAAAATGTGATTATTTGGTTTGTTTTTGTTTCCTTTGGAAAAAAACAAAATATTATATCATAAACATTTGCCAATTTTCTTGCACCCTTAATAAAAACATGTATGAAATTTTATGTGACTATATTTTCATTAGTTTTCTGTTGATGAGTAGCAAATGGCTGCAGCCTCAGCAATTTGAAACAGTATCCATTTATTAGCTAACAGTTCCATAGATCTGAAGTCTGGAACGGTGTGGTTGGGGTCTCTGCTCAGATCTCACAAGGTTAAAATCAAAGTGTTGACTCAGCTAAGTTCTTCTGTGGGCGGTCTGGGAAAAGTTGCTTCCAAGCTCATTCTTGTAAGAGGAATTCAGTTTCTCAAGATGGTCAGGCTGAGTTCCTCACATCCTTACTGGTTTTAGCTGGGAACTGCTCTTAGCAGCTGGAGACCACCTGTCGTCTTTGACATGTGGTCCTCTTGATCTGCAAGTCAGCATTGGTGCACTGATACCTTACTGTGTTTTGAGTCTCTGGCTTCTGTGATCAAGTGGAGAAAACTCTGCTTTTAAAGGGCTTACATGATTAGGTCAGACCCACCAGAATAATCTCCCTATTTTAAGGTCAACTGTGTCATATAACATAGTCGAATCAGGGAGGTAAACTCCATCCTATTGACAGTTGCCAGCATTATGCAGGTCATGTATATCAGGGGAGAGAAATCTTGGGGTCATCTGAGATCCTTACTTCCTACCATATTACAATTTATTTAACAGTTTCCCCATTTAAAAAAAAATGAGCTTATTTCCAGGTTTTTATTATTTTAAATGATTTTTTTGATGAACATCTAACCTGTATTAATTTGATGGGTGAAAAATAATATTTTGTAATTTGCATTTTTATTTGTAATGAAGTTGAACACTCAGTTTCATATGTTTATTAGCCATTTGTCTTTCTTCTTAAATGATTTATGTCTTGCTGTCCTTTTTGGAAGTTTTTTTTCAAATTGATATATAATAGGCCTCTGCTAAGTTTGTTGTATTTCACCCTTGTGTACTTTTTGATGTAAAAATATCTTAAACATTTATCTACACAATTCCATTTAGACATTCCTTTTTGTTTCTGTCTTTGGTGTTAAATTTAGAAAATCTCTTGGCACCTTAAAATTTTAGAAATATATTTGATCACATTTCTCTATTACTTTTATAGATTCATTATTTGTGTTTAAACTTTAATGTACATGGGATTTATTTTGATATATAGGATGAAATGCATATTTAAAATTTCCCTCCCGAATTAGTTACCCAGTGATCTTAATCTTTAATAAATAACTCATCATTTGCCTCTGATTTTAGATACTATTTTTGTACTTGACCTTTTTTGGTGGCTTTACACTCTGTTCAACTATTTCATTTTGTAGACTTAGGCCCTAACGTACTCTTGATTATTATACTTTGAAATAAATTCAAATACTTTGCCATACAAATTCTTCCTTGCTTTCCTTAGTTTTAAATATTTTATTGATTCTTTTACCCTATGCTTTTACAAATTTCTGATGGAATTTTAATTTGAAATATATTGACCTCATAAAATTTATGCTGAAGAAATGATGGTTCTGCAATTCATAGTCTCATCCTAGAAATATGAAATGTCTCTCCATTTTTTAGAATCTTCTTGCATGTTTCTCAGTAAAGTTTTATTTTTCTATTTTAAGAAAATTTCAAACTTACAGAGCATTTGCTGGAATATTACAAATGATTAATTTTTTTCCTGAACCATTTGAAAATAAATTGCTGCAATACTTTAATGTGTAATCTTGACAATCAAGGACCTTCTATCAAAATCAAAACCAGGAAATTAACACTGATACAGTACTCTCATCTAATCCACAGATCTCATTCACGTTTTACCAGTTTTCCCAACTCTGGCTTTTATAGAAAAAGGATCTTTCATAGTGCGTTTAATTGCCATGTACCTTCAGTCATTCTGTCTCAGTTTCTCAGTCTTTCCATGTCTTTCATTACCTTGTCCTTTTTGAAGGTTTTGGTCAGTTGTATAGTAAATGTCCCTTGTTTTGGGTTTGTCTAATGTGTCCCCATAATTTGATTTGGATTATGCATTTGTGCCAAGAACATCACCAAGGTAATACTAGGATGGCATGCTATTAGGAGGCATGTTGATTTGTCCATTACTGGTGACATGACTTTTGAGTGTTTGATTAACTGGTATCTGCCAGGCTTTCCTGACCTAAAGTTACTCTTTTCCCATTTGTAATTAATTATTAGGTGTTTTGTGGGGAGATACTTTGAGACCATATTGTTTTTAAAGCATTTTAAGCTTTCCTGGTATGACTGAATCAGTGTTTAGTTCAGAGCTAATTTTGTTCCACTATTGAGAAGAAAATATTTCTTAGTACTCTGCCCAATGCTCCATGGATTATGAGGTTTTCTACTCTGCTGTGGCCACAGGAACTATTATTCCTGGTCCTGTGTGGATTCGGGGGGTTGTTCTTGCTCATTCTTTCTGGTGGTTCTTTCGCCAGCCTTGGGTAGCTTCCCAATATGCATGAACATGTGTGGAGACCCCCCGCCCCCCTCTCCCCAGTTGTCCAGAATGCGCTCTTTCTATAGCTCTTCCCTCTCTGTACTCTGCCCCATGAGCTCCCTGGAATTCCAGCTCTGTGCCTCAACTCTGGGAGACCTGGGCTTTGCCGGGCCCCTCCCTCCCTGTCCTAAAGCCTGTAGACTCTCAAAGCAATAGTAGAGCTCACCTCATTTTCTTCCCATCCCTCCGGGATCACTGTCCTTTGTTCCCTGGTATCCTATGTCCTGAACATCACTGTTCCATGTATTAGTCACTTTTTGTGGTTGTTTCAGGCAAGAGGGTAAAGACAGTCCCTATCAATCCATATTAACCAGAATTAAAGTCATTTACCCATTTTTGATCAGTTAAATGCATAACTATTTTATTAAATTTGTTTATTAAATGTAGAAATGTTTTCCTGTGCTCTAAACAGCCAGATGCTGAGATATTTTTGATGATGGTAATGTGTGTTTTCTTCCTCGGCTACTGCTTGCCTCTGCTATCAGCTCCAAGCCCTGCTCTGCAGGATTTTATGCATCAGCTCTGTTGTAGGGCAATTTCTTAGATAAGGGTCATTAGGTTCCAAATGAATATTTGAAGGTGTCTCCCAGGAATTAAAGATATAAACTGTGTCACATGCATTTGATTGGGGCACTTTCTTGCTCCCTGTCTGGTCGTTGTCCACAATTCCATAGCTGCTGAAGCACTGCTGTCTGGACAAGTGGGGTATCATCCCCCTCGGAGCTTTGATGGGGAACCCTACTTGTTGGTGAGTCAGGGCTGGGAGTGCGGCTCTTGTTGTCTTTGGCTAGATTGTGTAACAATTGGTGTATTAGTTTTCTAGGGTTACCCTGGCAAAGTATCATGAGCTGAGTGGCTTAAAACTATAGACATTTATTGTTTTATAATTCTGGAGTCTAGAAGTCTGAAGTCAAGGTGTCAGCAGAGCCACGCCCCCCTGAAGCCCAGGGGATGATTCTTCCTTGCCCCTGTGCCTCCGGTAGTTTACTGGCCACCCTTGGGCTTCCTTGGCTTGCATCTTGTCACTCCAGTGTCTGTCTTCATCCTCATGTGACATTGTCCTCGTGTGTCTTTGGGTCTTCACGTGGAC